AATTTGGAGTGATGATCATAGTGGCTTTTAGAGACTAGGACACAAGTTGTCCTAAGCAGCCTAGAAAACATTTTATTATGAGAATAAGAAAGGAGAAACACAAGTAGAAGTATAAGGATTTCTTGTAGGCGGACCATAACTAAGTGTCCCATTATCATAGCCTTAGCCAAGAAAACAGATCTGAAAACATGGAGTCTGTAACATCATCTTGGTGGAATTGTTGAGTGTTAGAAATATGGTCCGTTAAAGGTGGCAGGTCTAGCGGCTATATTGTTGGAGGATATGAACTGATAAGTTAGCAAAATGTACATAAAGATTAGTGGTATTGTTTAAGCAGAGGAAGGAGTGGTTGTGATGGTTTTGGCCAAAAATACAAGGCAGAATATTGTGGGGGAAAGCTAAAAGGAGTAGTAGAAGGTGGCACTGGGGTCACGGCACTGACTGACATGAGGCAGGTGCCTCCTGGAAAAATCTATTAATGTTTTAGAATGGCACAGATAATAGTAACCTCTATCAGATTTCGGATTTACTTCTCACTTTTCCCAGCACTCCTCTTGCAGGGGAAACATCAGCTATCTCAGGATACGACACAAAGGTAGTGGTAGAGGAGAACGAGGGAGCATGAAGATGTGCAACTTGCAATCTTTACCTCTGTTTGTGTGATGGGAAATGCACAGGTCCTGGTGAGGAAAATCTGGAGTCTCTGCGTCCACGCAAAACCTTACGCCTGTCTGGGAACCTGAAAGGAGGCGTGAAGCTGGCATTCCTGTTTCAAGCCCTAGGACCAGAGGATGAAGTGGCAACTCTGTGGCAGCATCTGAAAAGGCCGATTGCTGCTGATCCGGTTTCACTCGAGTATCCCAGTAGGGAAAGGGGAGGGGGGACACAATGGCTTAGTGGCTGGAGTTGGGAGGGGCTTCACGTCTGAGGCAAGGATGCTGCTACGCCAGCGACAAATTGTCCGTCTCTCCTCCTCTTGGCCAGTCTTTCTGAACAGGCAACACACCCTCCCCTATTACCCAGCACAGGGATATTACTGGGCCATAAAAAGGAATGGAGTACTGGTATTTACTGCAACATGGATGCCTTGGAAACATGCTGAGTGGAAGAAGCCAGTCCCAGCCCTGACCAGTGTGCAATTCAGCTGGTTGAGCATCAACGCTCTCGATCAAGGTTTCTCTCACACATTGACGTTTTTCTCCCTTTTTCCCTGCCTTCCCCTCTCTCTAAAAATAAATAAAACAAAATCTTTGAAAGAAGCCAGTCGCAAAAGACCAAATCTTATTTGATTCCATTTATATGAAATGTCTAGAATAGGCAAATCTAGAGTGATCGATCCCATATCCATTAAGCAGTCCTGTCCCCCTACCCCCTCCCCCAAACCCATGGTAACGTCTAACTTACTTTCTGTCTCCACGTTTATGCATTCTTTTTTTGTTGGACATTTAGGTTGTTTCTACCTTTGGCCACTGGAAATAGTGCTTCTATGAACATTCTTACACAAAATTTTGTTTGAGCATATGTTTTTAATTTTCTTGGGTATATATCTGGAAGTGGCATTATTGGGTCATTTGGGAATCCGATGTTTAACTTTTTGAGGCACTAACAAATTGTTTTCCACAGTGCTGCACCATTTTACATTCCTACCAGCAATGCATGAGGATTCCAATTTCTCCACATCTTTGCCAACATATATTTTCCGTTTTTTAAAAAATTATAGTTAGGACTTCCAGGCAAGATGGAGGTGTAGGTGGAAACACTGTACCTCCTTGAACAACCAAATTTAAGGACAACAAAGATTTAGAAACAAAAACACAACCAAAACAGACAGAAAACTAAACTGTACCAAAGTCCAACAACAACAAACCATTCATCCAGCCCGGTGAGAGGGGTAGAGTTGGCGGCAGGGGGAGTGGGGTCTCAGCAGGACAAGGCGGTGGTTAGTGGACCAAACAGGCCTGAGAGGAAAACCCAGTAGGGCTCGAAAGGCAGCTGCCTGACCGCAGACACACATGGGTTTGTGCACAGATAAATCAGGCGGGTTTAAAAACGGTCAGTGAGAAGGACAGCGCAACCCAGACCCCAGTGACAGGAAATAAAGACTAAATGCACCGACTGAAAAAACTTTTGGGGATTGAGGTGCTGGGAGGGGCTCCCAGCCTCACAGGAGAGTTTGGTGGGGAGATCCACAGTGTCCTAGAACGTACACAAGCCCACCCACCCGGGAACCAGCACCAGAAGGGCCCAATTTGCTTGTGGGAAGCGGCAAAAGGGACCGAAATCGAAGAGAGAGCCCAACAAACTCTACTGCTCCCTCTCTGACCCTGCCCCCACATACAGCATCACAACCCAGTCACTTGGGTTACCCTGCCCTGGTGAACACCTAACGCTCCGCCCCTCATTACACAACAGGCACAACCAGACCAAAAAAAAAAGAAAAGAAAAAGGCTCAGCCCTGGCTGGGGTAGCTTCAGTGGATTGAGCGTGGGCCTGTGAACCAAACAACCGCAGTTCGATTCCTAGCCAGGGCGCATGCCTGGGTTGCAGGCCAGTTCCCAACAGGGGACGCACGAGAGGCAACCATACACTGATATTTCTCTCCCTCTCTCCTTCCCTTCCCCTCTAAAGATAAATAAATAAAACCTTTAAAAAAATGGCTCAAACAGAAGAACAGGTCAAAGCTCCAGAAATAATACAACTAGCAACCAAGAGAGAGTCAACCTATCAGATGCACAGTTCAAAATACTGATAATCAGGATGCTCACAGAATTGGTTGAATCTGGTTGAAAATTAGATGAAAAAAAATGAAGGCTAAACTAAGTGAAATGAAGGAAAATGCACAGGGAACCAATAGTGATGGAAAGGAAACTGGGACTCAAATGAAGGGAGTGGACCAGAAGGAAGAAAGAAACAACCAAACAGAAAAGAGTGAAAAAGCAACAATTCAAAAAAATGAGGAGAGGCTTAGGAACCTCCAGGACATCTTTAAATGTTCCAACATCTGAATTATAGGGGTACCAGAAGGGGAAGAGGAACAGCAACAAGTGGAAAACTTATTTGAACCAATAATAAAGGAGAACTTCCCCAATCTGGCAAAGGAAATAGACGTCCAGGAAGCTCAGAGAGTCCCAAAGAAGTTGGACCCAAGGAGGAACACACCAAGGCACATCATAATTACATTAGCCAAGATAAAAATGAAGGAGAGAATCCTAGAGGCAGCAAGAGACAAGGAGACAGTAGCCTACAAAGGAGTTCCCATCAGATAGACTGTCAGCTCAAAAGAGACCTTACAGGCAAGAAGGGGCTGGAAAAAGTATTCCAAGTCATGAAAAACAAGGACCTACATCCAAGACTGCTCTATCCAGCAAAGCTTTCATTTAGAATGGAAGGACAGATAAAGCGCTTCTCAGATAAGGTCAAGTTCAAGGAGTTCGTCATCACCAAACCCTTATTATATGAAATGTTAAAAGGACTTATTAAAAAAAAAGATAAAAAACATATACAGTAAAATGACAGCACATTCACAGTTATTAATAACCACACCCAAAACAAAAACAAAAGCAACATACCCAAACAACTAGAACAGGAACAGAACCACAGAAATGGAGATCACATGGAAGGTTAGCAACAGGACAGTGGGAGGAGGAGAGGAGGGGAAATGGTACAGAGAATAAGTAGCATAGATGATAGGTAGAAAATAGACAGGGGGGAGGGTAAGAATAGTATGGAAAATGTAGAAGGTAAGGAAGTTGTAACACATGGACATGAACTAAAGGGGGGGAATGTGGGTGGGAGGGTGGAGGAGAGTGAAGGGGGGGAAATGGGACAACTGTAATACCATAATCAATAAGATATATTTAAAAAAAGAATTGATAATGATGAAATAAAAAAAAAGAAACTCTTGCCTAATCAAAGGTTATTATTTTTTCTTTCATAATTGAGATTTCATTGGTTGTTCTGAGGATAAATACACAGACATTTCAATTTTCACCTCTTAAAAAAAAGCACTTACAATTCAGATGGGATGAAGTTGAATCCTTTCCTTCTTAAAAATGTTTCCAGAGCTGCTAAAAACGTGCATTTACAAAACAGTTAATAAAAATATTCCTCTGGATTGTACAAGAAGGGAGACAGGGACCACATAAGACATGATATATGACTAATCAGATATGTCTTCCTTCTCTCCTGCTTCATTGGAGGTTGGATTCTCCTGATTTTCAGTTTCTCCATTTTCTGTAGGTACATCTTTAGTTTCTGGGTTGGTCACTTTGATCAGTTTTTCCTTTGCTTCCGTTTTTCATTTGTGCTTTTTGTCTGTGGATTTATCCTTTCCTGATGCCTTCCTGAGCTTTGTTTCCACTTTTGAAGGAGCAGGTTTAGCTGATAACCTTGTTAATCTCCTTTTGGGATCCTCCTTGGGGCGGGGGGGTTCTGCTCTGCCTCAGCAGAGCAGAACTTCTTGGGCACCATGGAGAAGAGGTGGGCACTAGCCAAGCTGCCTGTGGCCTCAGCCCACTGAGAGCCTTCCCAAACAGGGCTGCCTGGCCACTGCTGCTTCTTCTGGTGCTGTTGCCAGAGCTGCTGGGACCCACCAAGGTTATTATTCTTTTAATCCTAAGGTTTCTTTCAGTTCTGCCATTCTGGAACTCCGTTATGTGTACTGTCAGGTCAAGGACTGTGGATTAGTTCTGTACTGTTCTTGACCTAAGAATTTGTTTAATTCTCTAATGGTCGATGTCCTCGTTAGAGACCGTTGGTGTGGCCTGCAGTACATGAAAGTAGAAGCAAGTTTTGTTTAAAAGACACCCCCTTCCACATGTTGGGAGAGGTAAGGACCCACTTACCTACAGTGGTTCCCAGAAACTTGACTCAAGGGTCAGGTAAGGTCCATCCAATTCAGATAACTGTCTATAACTACCAATTCCTGGTGGGGTTCTCTAACTTGGGAGTTTATGAAAGCTTAAGGGCAATTTCGGGAAATTCTGTCACTAAACTGTTACCTTATTTTACCTGGCTCTGCAGCTGTTGCCATACTTCTTACCCATACTTTTCGGACCATAAGATGCACCTAGGTTTTAAAGGAGGAAAAAAGGAAAATTTTTGAAGCAAAAAATGTGGTAAAATATTTAATAACATAAATAACAGTAATTCACCAATGTAAATGTAAAGCTACATTCGGACTATAAGGCGCACCCTCATTTTCCTTCCAAATTGCCGGGGCGGGGCGGGGGGAGTGTGTCTTATAGTCTAAAAAATACGGTGCCTTCTTGATGTTGTCTGTACTCACTGCTTCCACTTGCTGACCTCCCATTGTCTCCTCAATCCACACACATTTGATTTCTGACCCCATCACTCCACTATTAAATTCCTGTCAAAATCAGCAGGGACATTCTAGTTGCCAAGCCTAATGCATATATATCTTGAGTTCTTTGTAGCATTAGTATGTTGACTAATCTCTTAAAATTCTCTTCTTCCTGGGTCTCTGGCATCACCAACTGCTCAATTTTCTTATTTTCCTAGCTGCTGCTTCTCAGTTTTCTTAGAATCATTCTCTTCCGCTGCATATTCCTTAAATGTCCTCTCCTTGGCCTTTGACTCTTCTCATGCTACATGCTATTCCAGAACCACATCATCCACTTTTGGACTTTAATCAGCCTAGTTATTGATGACCTCTAAATCTCATATCTCTCTCCTGAGCTTCAGATCCGCGTATCCAGTTTCCCACCAGACGCCCAATAGTAGGCCCATTTGTAACACGAGCTCGGCCAGGGCAAGAGAACACATGGAGATCCTTGACCTGTTCGCCTTTTCTTACTACCCCTATTCTACTTTATACTGTGAGGGGCTTCTCAGGTCCACATGTGGTCTGAATTTCCAAGCTCCATCCACATGCCTCCTAAACAGACACTTTTTTGGCCAGTCCCTGGGCTTAGGATTGTTGCACAATGGCAGTAAGGTTCATTCTCAGGAGGAAAGACCTGGGGCAGAGGCTCATTTATGGGCTGAAAGTAGACCCATGCCACTGCAGAGGGAATGTGGGAACCTTAGGAAGAAGAAACGGAGGTCTGAAAAAGGGGGTGTGAGCTCTGGGCAGTCATGTCCCCCTAGCCCACAGAGAAAGGCTTGGCTTGAGGAGAAACAGAGCGGGGGCCATCCAAAGTATGGGGCCTAGTGCAACGCCCTCAATTTTCCAAATCTAAGGATTTTAACTGCTCCCCTAAGTACCTTAAACTCACGTAGGCAGACCTGAATTTATCATCTACCTCCTTTTCCTCCTCTATTACTGCCTACCTACAACCTCTTCATTTTCTTTGTTCCATAACTAAGCAAATAGCACCACCAAACAGTCTTTTGCTTTAGCTGTAAACCTGGGAGTTGATCCTATCTCCTAAACATCTTTATAATGTCTGTCTTCACCTCACAACCATACTTGCAATACCGTAGTTTGGATTGTCATTGTTTGTCATCTGATCTCACTCCTACCATAAGCAGTTTCTTGCTTAAAACTCTTCATTTGTTTCCCATTGCCCTTGGGATAAATCCAAGCTCCTTAGGGCACAGAAAACCCTTTGGGATCTGCCTCCTGCTCAGCACTCTGTCATTGTACATATATGCTCTATCCAGTTGAGCTTGTATTTCCATGAATGGGCCATAATTTTTTTATTTTTTATTTTATTTTGCTTTTGAATAGGCCACACTTATCCACATTTCCATGGTTATCTATGTACCTCTCCCTTTACTGGAATGACCTTTTTTGCCTAATTAATTTTATCTAACTCATCCATTTTCATCCTCTGCACCTCAGCCAAAGGTCATATCCAGAAAACCCTGTACTCCCCTGTTACTACCCGCTTCCTCCACTTCCTTGTAAGGGCCTCTCTTACATGCTCACATTGTACTCTCTGCTTTTGTATCATGGTAGTTGTAATTCTTTGTCTTTCCCTCTGGAATGTGAGCACCTTGAAGGCAGGAGCTCTATCTTCATCCCTGTCCCAGTACCCGGTACAGAACAGGACACCTGGAAGGCAGACCCTCTATAAATGCTTACTGAATGAATCAAAGAACTATGAAACGAACATTCTACTTATACATACTTTTAAAAAATACTGTTTTATGTAATTAATAAGCAATTTATATGCTACAATTACTACAAGGTAGAGGAGTTATGAAACCAGTTTCTAGTTTTTGCTGAAAATACCTTAAATATGTGTGACCACCAAAAGTGCCTCTGGTGTAGTGAGCCTGGTTTTCTCCTCTCCCAAGCTCTGTGGAGCCTTTTCTGGATGTCAAGATCTTGTGTCCTAGGACTGTCATATGATAATGGCAGAGCATTATGGTGACTTATGCCCTTTCTCCACCTTACTTTTAAGTAATTTTTAAACAAGTGCTGATTGTATTGCTATTAGAAGGCTTTGTTTTCCTTTAATACCTCCTGTAAGGTGCTGGCCTTCTGCCCCATTTATTAAACTGGGAATTTTCTCACTTTGTGGGGCACTTGAGCTTGCTAATGGCATCTGAAATATCAGGACACTAAGAAGTGTCCTGATCTGTGTCTCTAAGTCCTGAATTCTTCCCTTTTGTATTCTTCACCATGCTGAGGTGACTGGAGGACTGCTGTCAATTTCCTTTCCTCATGGGTGGGAGTGGGAAGTAACCCTGATTGGGATCCAAGTTGTTAAAATGGATTTCCCCACTGATTGCCACTGCACATGAAATCATAATTTTTCAATAGCCTTGATACACTTTTCTGTATAAACAACCCATGTTCATTCCGAATGGCCTACTGTTTTTGGTGAAGTAGAAGTAACTTTTTCTAGAGCAGCGGGTAAACGGAACGCTCCTGCAAAGCTCCATTTCAGAACCCTTTTAAACAACTGTTGTGACAATTTAGAAGTATATACACCTGCCGCTCAACACAAAAGATGTGTTCTGAGAAATACACTTGTAGGCATCATTGTGCGAACATTATAGAGTACACACCTAAATTGTAAATCCTATACTACACACCTACATTATATGGCGTACCACCATTGTATTTGTGGTCTATTGTTGACTGAAATGTTATGTGGCTCAGGACATAGTAAAGAGTGAAAATCTTCACCCACTCTTATACTCCCATGCCGGGCCCTTCCCCCAGTAGCTACAATACAGTTTAGAGGGTATCTCTCCTGCCAGACCATTCTCCATGCATTTACATATGCTGATTGTTCGTTTGTTTTGGGAACATCACATAATGTAGCTTGTTTTCATAAAAATGAGACTGTAATATACATATTATTCTGTGACCTTCTGGTTTTTTGTCTTTTTTCCAGGTCAGTAGCTATTCATCAACTTTTAGTACCTGCATATCTTTCTACTGCTGATTGATTAACTGCTTAAAGCTCCCAAAGTGAGCTAACTTTATCACACCAGGAAGGCTACTACTTCTGGTTTTGTTGAGAGTAGGTCTTAGCCAGTTAGCTGTTTTGTTTTTTATCCCAAGTACACTTTGAAGTCTATGAATCTCTTTCTTTTACTTTCCTTTCTAGTTATGCTTACTTATTTTTAGTTATAGTTCGCTGTCTCAGTTTACTATTATAATAGTCATTGTTAAATTTTATTCCAGAGTGCCTCACACAGGTGCCATAAACAAACACCACTACACTTTCAGTGAATGTTAAACTTCTCCCTGGCTGCCACTTAGCTCCTGGTGTTCCTATTGCAACGATTTCATTCCTAATATTATTTGGGCCATATTAACATACCAAGTGAGGCTGCATTGACCTCGATAAAGCTGGACATTGGCTAGTTACTTATGTTTAAGTATTTGTTACTCACCCTGGCTGGTGTGGGTCAGTGGACTGAGGTCCAGTCTGCAAACTGAAAGGTCACCAGTTTGATTCCTGGTCAGGGCGAATGCCTGGGTTGTCGGCCAGGTCCCCAGCTGGGGGCTTGTGAGACAACCAACAGATGTTTCTCTTTCTCCCTCCCTTCCCCTGTCTCTGAAAAATAAATAAATTTAAAAGAACATATATGTTACTAAAAAAGTCTTTTTAAAAATTATGGTGGCTTTTGAACATACACAACAGTATAATACGGCCCTATATACTATCACCCAGCCCCAACAACCATCAACCACGTTCAGGTACACATTATCTCATTTAATTTCATGGCAACTTTGTTAGTTATTATTTCCAGTTCATCTGGAATTGCAAAGCTTATTTGTAATAAATTCAACTCAGGATTCAATCCTGCATCCGATACACCAGTAGATCCCAATTTTGGGGTGTGATCAGAACCGACTGGAAGGAACCTTTAACATAATAGATGCCAGGCCCCCTCCAGACTTACTAACAGTGAATCTCTGGTGTTACGGGCTGGAAGGAGAGTCCCTGAAAAGTGGAAATCTTACAAAGTTCCTCTATGGGTCGCAAAGAGCCAGGTTTGGACCCACTGCCCTACTCTATGCTGTCTGCTCAAGCTGTGGTTCTCAAACCAGGTGTCAGGCATCACAATGACCTCAGCTCTTTAAGCTCTAAAATTCCTCATTACGTTCAGCGTTGGCCCTAAACACCTGCGTTTTTCAAAAAATCAAGACTACCAACACAAAAACGCCACAGGAAAGTGAGTGGCATTTTCTCGTGTAACGATTACTGGGGTGGGGTGGGGGGAGGAGCGGGCAGTTAAGCATACACTGGTTGACACTAACCCCGAAAGAAGCCTAAGGTGATGAACTCTGAAGATCAATTACGAAGGGAGCTCCCTGTGTCCTTTACTCCCCTCTCGGGGCTTACACATTGCGTCCCACGGCTGCGACTGACCAAGAATGGCCCACATCACCACTCTTCGTAAGGGATACTGGAGGATAAGCCAGAGTGTGCCGTCAAGACTGCAAGACAGAGCGTGGTCCCCCGACACCCAGACTCCGACTAGGACTCCAGCCTACGTGAGTAGGCGGAGCAAGCGACACCGCAGCCCAGGTGCGTCTCTGGAAGGCTTCAGGCCCCGCTCCGACGGGTCCCCAAACTCTCAAATTTCCCGGGCGCCCTGTCTCTTAATTGCCCGCCCTGTGGTTTCCAGGGCGTCGCGCAGGAAGTGACCTCATGACGGTGGCGTGGAGACGCGAGGCTCTTCCGGTGGCCGCGGCAGTGGGGTGGGTGTGGAGCAAACAGCCCCTCAATTTCTGGGTTTCCTCTTGTCTCCGGGCCGACTCGCTTGGTGTGCTGAAGAGGCGCAGGCCCGACGACTTGGAGGTGGGAGGAAGGGGCGGCGGCTGGTTTGTGGGCGCTCGTGGGAGGGGGCTTCTGGCGTTGCCAGGCGGCTCTGCTTCTAAGCTTGAAGATTCCAGGCCTCGTAGACCCTTATAGAGGCGGCGCACGCTGGGGGCCACAGTGGGCACGCAGAGAGCCAGGTACTAGGATTGTCTCGGGGGCGTGGTTTGAGGTGGGAGTACAAGGGCCGCGGGATTCCGAACAGTCTGGGAAAGGGGTGAGAAGTTCGGCTTTAAGCAGCTTAGGCTCTTGGTTTAGACTTGTTGATGGCCGCTGCAACTTGCCTGCTCATTGCTTCATACCTCAGTTTCCTTTTGTAGAGTAGGGTGGCAGGGGAGAGCGTTAGTGCCACATCCATGACTGATAGCTTGAGGACAGAGATGTAGAGATGAACTGGGTTTTAGAAGGGCAGAGTGGCTGAGAAAGTAATGATACCTACCAGGGCCCAGCTTTTACTGAGTCCTGGAAACTTCCCCTTTATTCTCCCTGCTGTTGGTGTAAGGCTAAGCTTCTTATCAATACTTTTTGTGTGATATTGATTTACCTTATCAATAACTAACTTGTTGAAGTGATTAAAGTGTCTTGCTTTGTGAGCAAAGTTCTCACCTGCTTGGTCAGTTGGTTGTCAATAAATCTCCCAATTGCAGAGCTAGCTGGAATCCTAACAGTACTCTTCCATGGTAACAGATGAGGAACTGGAGACCCTGATTGGTTTTTCTGTTTCCTAGCCACAGACTAAAGTGATTTTATTCTGTTGCCTGTCCATATTGGTCTTAAGTCCATCAAAATGTAAGTAACTGTCTTCTGAGCAGATCTGTATTTCAACTGAAAACTCTAATGGGTTCTAGTTTTTTTCCTTTTTTTTATTGATTTTTTTTTTTAATTTTAGAAAGAGGAAGGGTGGGGGAGAGAGAAAGAAACAGAGAGAAACATCATTTGTTGTTCCACCTATCCATGCATTCATTGGTCGATTCCTGTATGTTCCCTGACCAAGGATTGAACCTGCAACTTGGGTGTGTGGGGGTGACCCTTAAACCATCTGAGCTCCAGTCTTTTTTTTATGAGTAGCAGATTAGGTGTACTGAGCACAAAATTGGTATTTGTTGGTTTTTGTGTATGAAGCGAAGATGGTTACAAATAACAACTTTTTGATTACAAAGAATTTTTTGGTGGAGCTGTGGGACTAAGAAAGTGTCTCTCAGACTTTTTTGACCTTTGACTACATCATGACTCTCTGTACCCCCTAAATGCATAAAGTTCGCGTGCATGAACACACATGACACAGGTTTACTCTCTGCAGATGATGCCCTTTGACATTGTTTCAGTAAAAGAAAAAAAGTAGAAGACCTGGCTGGTGTAGCTCAGTGGATTGAACACGGGCCTGCGAACCAAAAGATCTGTCTGATGGTAAAAGATTCCCCATCAGGGCACATGCCTGGGTTGCAGGCCAGTTCCCAGCAGGGAATGCACCAGAAGCAAGCATACATTGATATTTCTCTCCTTCTCTCCTTTTCTTCCCTTCTAAAGATAAAAAAAATAATAAAATAGAAAAGTAGATTGCAACTCACTAAATTGACTGCTAAAGACCTGTAATTTGGCCCTAGCTGGCATAGCTCAGTGGATTGAGTGCGGGCTGCAAACCAAAGGGTTGCAGGTTTGATTCCCAGTCAGGGCACATGCCTGGGTTGTGGGCCAGGTCCCCAGTGGGGGCCACATGAGAGGCAACCACATATTGATGTTTCTCTCTCTATCTTTCTCCTTCCCCTCTCTAAAAATAAATAAAAATCTTTAAAAAAAAGACCTATAATTTGAAAACCAATGGACTAGAAAATGTTTAAGATTGTTATGATTCGTGAGGTTCTGTAATTAATTCAAAGTGGAAAATGTGTCATTTTTCTGTTTTTCTTAGAGTAGCAGGGTTAATAGAGTTATTTTTTATTATTATTATTTTTTATTGTTCAAGTACTATTGTCTCCATTTTCCCTCCACCACTACCCCCCTGCCACCATCCAACCCATTCCCACCTCTCACCCCAGATTCTACCCGCCTTTCCCCTTTTTCCCATTATCCATCCCCCCTCCCCTCTGGTTACTGTGTCTATTTCAATGTTTCTGGTTATATTTTGCCTGCTTGTTTGTTTTGTTGATATGTTCCACTAATAGGTGAGATCATATGGTATTTGTCTTTTACTGCCTGGCTTGTTTCACTTAGCATAATGCTCTCCAGATCCATCTATGCTGTCGAGAAGGGTAGGAGCTCCTTTGTTCTTTCCGCTGTGTAGTATTCCATTGTATAAATGTACCACAAGGTTTTTTTGTTTGTTTTTGTTTTTAAGATTTTATTTAGAGAGAGGGGAAGGGAGGGAGAAAGAGGGAGAGACATATCAATGTGTGGATTGCCTTTCATGCGCCACCCACTGGGGACCTGGCATGCAACCCAATCATGTGTCCTGACTGGGAATCAAACTGGCCACCCCCAAGCCACTGGCCAGTGCTCAATCCACTGAGCTACACCAACCAGGGCTCTACCATGGGTTTTTATTCACTCATTTACTGATGGGCACTTAGGTTGCTTCCAGTGCTTGGATATTGTAAATTGTGCTGCTATGAACATTGGGTGCATAGGTCTTTTGAATTGGTGTTTCTGTATTCTTAGGGTTAATCCCAGCAGTGGACTTGCCAGGTAAAAAGGCTGTCCCATTTTTAGTTTTCTGAGGAAATTCCATACTGTTTTCCACAGTGGCTGCACCAGTCTGCATTCTCACCAACAGTGCACTAGGGTTCCCTTTTCTCCACATCCTCACCAGCACTTGTTTGTTGATTTGTTTATGATGGCCATTCTGACTGGTGTGAAGTAGTATCTCACTGTGGTTTGAATGTGCATCTCTCTGATGGCTAGTGATGCTGAGCATCCTTTCATATGTCTCTGGGCCCTTTCTATGTCCTCCTTGGAGTACTGCCTGTTCAGGTCCTTTGCCCATTTTTAAATTGGGTTGTCTGTCTTCTTGGAGTAGAGTCATGTGAATTCTTTATATATTGTGGAGATCAAACTCTTATCTGAGGTATTGTTTGCAAATATATTTTGCCAATGGTATTTTGCCATTCCATATGATTGGTTCCCTTTTCATTTTAATGCTGTCTTCTTTAGCTGTGCAGAAGCTTTTTAATTTGATGAAGTCCCATTTGTTTATTCCTTCCTTTATGTCTCTTGCTCTAGGGGACGTATGGGTGAAAATATTGCTGTGTGGAATGTCTGAGATTTTCTAGAATTCTTATAAATTCAGCAGATCAACAGGACAGGATATCCAAATTGGTAGCTCAAAGTAATTGTATATGGTATCCATGGTGATAGTGTCAATTTTAGCAAGGTATTTTTGTTAAGTCTTATGATGGCCCTGTGGGTAATATGGGGGTTTTTGCCAGATTGTGGTAAAAGTAGATGGAATCATGATTTTAAATAGCTGTGTCTGGAGGGGTTTGATTTATGGACACAATACTGCTGGGATTCTGAGTTGAGGCTGTCACTTTGTTTATACACAGCATGTCTTTGAAGCTTTACCTGAAAGGTGTACTTAGCAAGTTTGTGACCTTGATGAAGTGGAGAGAGAAGGTTTCATCTGGTTAAACTCAAAATTTGCCCAGTGTAACTTAATGAAATGGAAGGGTCATATACCTGTGAGGAATTTTACTTGGGTCCAAAAAAATCAGTTATATCAGTTAATGAAGGTAGAGATGTGACTTAGGAGGGGCTCATGTAATAAAAAGATGTAGCGTCTCAGTCATCTGAGTCAGTGGTGTGGTTAGCCTGTGAGAAGAACGATGTGAACTGCAGTAGTAGATTGCACTAGGAAAATATAAGATCAAGAAAGGTTGCACCACTTGATCCCAGCACTGGTTGGCTCACACCTGAATATTAGGTTTGGGTCTGGGTACTCTACAAGAATAAATTAATTTAGAAGTTGGAAGTTAAAAGGAGTTGAAATTGGCTTTAAGAAGTAATTTTTTATTGGCTGTCTGAAGACATGGTGAAGTTGCTTTGATAACTTCAAAGCAACCAGAAAGAATTACTGTGTCTTCACCATTGACTGGCGCTTTTTCCCCATGTCATTTCAGGCACATTCAGTCGGCAGTGTGGCCTTAAAAGGTTTTTGCTTGAGAGCGTCCAAAACGTTAGGAAATCTGTGTACCTCTTTTAAGTTGGTCTTTGAAATTTTTCATCGTAAATTTTAGTTTACCTGGCTGGTGTGGCTCAGTGTAGATTTAGTGCCAGCCAGCAAAGCAAGGGATTGCTGGTACAATTCCCAGTCAGGGCACATGCCTGGGTTGCGGGCCAGGTCCCCGGTAGGGGGCATTCAAGAGGCAACCACACATTGATGTTTCCCTCTCTTTCTCCCTCTCTTCCCCTCTAAAAATAAATAAAATCTATTTAAAAAATTAGTTTAATTAAGCATTTAATTTTTTAAATTAAGGATTTTTAATTTTAATATCTGACATTGTAAATATTGACTTTCTAAAAATAAATACAAAGCTATCTAAATTTAATAGCAGTTTGATTTTGTTTTAGATTCTCACCCGAAGGAATATATCTATTGATTTTAGAGAGAGGGTGGGAGAGGGGCAGAGAGAAAGAAACATTTATTGGTTGCCTGAGAGAGAGAAACATCAATGTGAGACAGAAACATTGATCTGTTGCCTCGGGTAAGTGCCCCAACCAGGGATCAAACCACAACCCAGGAGGGTGTGCCCTGACTTGGAATCGAGCTGCAGCATTTTGGTGTATAGGATCATGTTCCCACCAACTGAGCCACCCTGCCAGGTTGCGATTTGATGCTTTTAAAATATACAAATGCCCTGACTTGTATGTGGCTCAGTTGGTTGGGCATTGTCCCATAAAACGAAAGGTTGCCAGTTCAGTTCTGGTGGGGGCATATGCCTGGTTTGCAGGTTTGGCTCTGTACAAGAGGCATCTGATCGATGTTTCTCTCCTTCCTTTCTCTCTCCCTTCCTCTCTCTCTATAAATAAGTAAATTAAAAATTTTAGAAATTATTAAAAACAAATAAAAAACCTTTATTATATTAAAAACCTTCTAAGGTATGTATAAATGGTATATTAATTGATTTTCAGATGTTAAGCCAGTCTTGTGTTCCTATAATAAATCCCACTTAGTCATGGTGTATAATACTTGTTATATGTTCCTGAATTCAGTTTATTAATATTTTGTTAAGAATTTTTGTCTGTGTACATGAGGGATATTGATCTGAAGTTTTCTTTTCTTATGATGTCTTTGGTCTTAGTTGTCAGACTGATACAGTTGACCCTTGAACAATACAGGTTTGAACTGTGTGGATCCACTTACACCCAGACTTTTTTCAATAAATATACAGTTGGCTCCCGCCCGCCCCCCAATATCCCTAGGTTTCCACCTTTGCAGATTCAGTCAACCACAGATTAAAAACAGTATTTTCAGTGCTTGCTTCAGCAGTACATACACAAAATTGGAACGATACAGAGAAGATTAACGTGGCCCCTGTGCAAGGATTACACGCAAATTCACAAAGTGTTCTATATTTTTCCAATGGAACAGGATGGAGAGCCCAGAAATAAACCCAAGTCTCTATGGTCAATTAATATTTGACAAAGGAGGCAGAAGCATGAAATGGAGTAAAAATAGCCTCTTCAACAAATGGTGTTGGGAGATCTGGACAGCTACATGCAAAAAAGTGAAACTAGATCACCAACTTAACCATACACAAAAATAAATTCAAGGTGGGTAAAAGACTTAAATATAAGTTTTCCTCTAGGACTTTTATGACAACATAAAAGTCCTAGAGAAAAACATAGGCAGGAAAATCTCAGACATTCCACACAGCAATATTTTCACCCATACGTCCCCTAGAGCAAGAGACATAAAGGAAAGAATAAACAAATAGGACTTCATCAAATTAAAAAGCTTCTGCACAGCTAAAGAAGACAGCATTAAAATGAAAAGGGAACCAATCATATGGAATGGCAAAATACCATTGGCAAAATATATTTGCCAATGATACCTCAGACAAGAGTTTGATCTCCACAATATATAAAGAATTCACATGACTCTACTCCAAGAAGACAGACAACCCAATTTAAAAATGGGCAAAGGACCTGAACAGACAGTACTCCAAGGACATAGAGAGGGCCCAGAGACATATGAGAGGATGCTTAGCATCACTAGCCATCAGACAGATGCAAATTCAAACCACAGTGAGATACTATTTCATACCAGTCAGAATGGCCATCATAAACAAATCAACAAACAAGTGCTGGTGAGGATGTGGAGAAAAGGGAACCCTAGTGCATTGTTGGTGGGAATGCAGACTGGTGCAGCCACTGTGGAAAACAGTATGGAATTTCCTCAGAAAACTAAAAATGGGACAGCCTTTTGACCTGGCAAGTCCAGTGCCGGGATTATACCCTAAGAATACAGAAACACCAATTCAAAAGACCTATGCACCCAATGTTCATAGCAGCACAATTTACAATATCCAAGCACTGGAAACAACCTAAGTGCCCATCAGTAAATGAATGGATCAAAAAACTGTGGTATGTTTACACAATGGAATTCTATGCAGCAGAAAGAAAGAAGGCGCTCATACTCTTTGGTACAGCATGGATGGAACTGGAGAGCATTATGCTAAGTGAGATAAGCCAAGCAGGGAGGGACAAATACCATATTATCTCACTTTTAACGGGAACCTAATCAACAAAACAAGCAAGTATAACCAGAGACATTGAAATTAAGAACAAACTAACAGTAACCAGAGGGCAGGTGGGAGGGGATAATGGGGGGAGGTGAGGCAGGGTTTTTAGGAACAACTATAAAGGACACATGGACAAAACTAAGGGAGGGTGAAAGCAGGGGAGGGAGGTGGGGATGGCTGTAGTGGGGAGGAGTGGTGGGGGTAAATGCAGACAACTATAATTGAATAACAATAAAATAATTTAAAAAACAGTATTTTCAGTCCTCAGTGGGCAATGTATGGATGGGGAGGGTTGACCATAGTCGTTGTTTCATACCATTTTATGTAAAGGACTTGAGTGTCCATGGATTTTGATATCTGCATGGATGTAGGATGTCCTAGAACCAATCCCCTTTGGATATAAGGGACAGCTTTAAGTTTTTTGGGAGTCAAAAGTTATACAGGGATTTTAGTCTGCCCCTAACTTTTGCATTATTCAGGATAAACTAGTACTACCCTAATAAATGAGTTAAGAAATGTTCTTTCCTTTTATATTTTCTGTAAGAGTTTGTGTAGGATTGTTAAGTATTTTTTTCTGTATGTCTGATAGAATTTACCACTGAAGTCTCCTGGATTTGGGCTTTTCTTTATGGGAAGATTTTAAATTACTAATTCAATTTCTTTACTTGATATAGGTCTATCCACATTTTCTATTGCTTCTTGAGTCAACTTTGATCATTCGTATTATTCTGGGAATTCATCCTTTTCATACATTTTCTTTTTCTTCTTGAACTTGTATCCATTCATTTTTACACAGATTTTTTCCTAAAGGAGTCAACATACTTTTTCTGTAAAGAGTCAAATGATAGGCTTCGTGAGCCGTGTAGTCTCTGTCATAACTACTCAACTGTTTTACTGAATTGCAAAAAGAGCCACAGATAACAGGCAGACAGCTGAACATGATTGTGTTCCCATAAAACTTTATTAGTAGTGAACCAGATTTGGCCCATGGGCTGTAGTTTTCTAACCCCTGTCCTAACTAATAAATTTTATGGTAGTAAATCTTTTATTGATAATTCAGTTATCTAGGCAGATCAAGTTTATGAAAAGTAGTGTGGAAATTGATTCCCTTGCATACCTTTGTATCTAGGGACATGTGTATTTTGAAGATTGGAACTTCATTTTCAGGATGTTGTAGAGGAAATTCAAGTATTCTTACAGTTTTGTTTGGGTGAGAAGGGAGGTCGCCCTCACAGTATGACTTTCTGGGGCCATAAATCAAGTTCCCTATTTGGCCAGCATTCTTTTTGCTGAAAGGAGACTTTGAAATAAAGTGCACTATATGGTAGAAGCTATATAGATTGTGTCACTTAATCTTAACAATGGTCCCTTGAGGTGGCGGTGTAATTGGTATCATTCCCATTTTTGGAGTTGAGACTCAGATTAGGATAATTTGCCTAGGTCATAGTGCTGGTAAGTGGTGAAGTCCAGTAGTGAACCTGGGCTTATGATGTCTGACTTTAGGAAGTCTGTGCTGTTTTCACTATGCAGCCTTTTATGGAAGGTATGGACTTAGTAGTAGGATTGTACTTGATGGTTTCTTTTAAGATCTCTGCCATTTCCAAGATTTTAATTCTGTGAATACCTTTTCAGATAGAGGCATGGAAATATACCTAGTTTTTCAGAAGTCAGTAAGTAATCACTTATCTATCTGCAGCTGTTGATTGTAATTGTCCTTAGCATGCCAAGAGGTTGCTCCTTGGATCCCAATGCTATAAGTGCTGTCTATTGTGGCAGTTTAGATGGAAGTTAGGTCTGTAATTGGCAAGTTGTTTATTTGTAGTTTATGGAACATTTTGGCAACTGCCTCAGTTGCATAATATGTGGAAAACTATTTAGGGCTACCTGACTTAGTTACCTAAAGGCTTCTTAGAAGAGAAATAATATAGTAAAGACTCATACTTAGTGTGGCACTTGGTAGTCTGGAAATCCTGATAGTCCAGCATTTCAGTAAAACAGTCCCGTATCTACCCTATAACTTTTTGTGTACTGTGCCCATCCATTATGGGTACACTCGTCCACCACAAAGACATATAGGAAAATGTTTAATTCTTAATTCATAATGGCCTCTGAATTGGAAATAACTGTCTCAACATTAGAATGGGCAAATCCATTAAGGCATAGTTATGTAATAGAATACTACATAGTCATGGGAAAGAATGAATTGTCGCGTCATGTAATAAGGATGAATCTCAGAGATGTACCATTGAGCAAAAGAAACCAAATACTTTAAAAAGAGGACCTTTATTATTTCTTTTATGTGAAGTTCAAAAAACAAGCTGTGCCATTTTTCTTTATAGAAATCAGAATAATGGCTACCTTTGTGGGAACACAGTGGAAACTTACGGGGTGTTAGAAGTATTCTGTGTCTTGTTTTAGGTGGTAGTTATATGAATGAATTAATATGTAAAAATATATCGAGCTGTGCATTTAAAGTAGGTAGACTTATTATTTGTTATACTTTGATAGAAAAGTAGAAAATAAAAGGCACCCAAGATTGGTCCCCTGTAGCTGCTCTATCTTCTGCTTCAGCTGTAGCTCTTTTGACATGGAGGGGTTAGCCCTGTAATTGATGAAGCCCCCTTCCTTCATGTGTTCATCTGACGAGGAACCCAGATGGTGGCATTCCACTCGATTTACTGCTTTCAGTTAATAAAGACATTTTCTTTATAGATACAGACATGGCTTGGAGCTACTGCAAGTTGGGTTCCAGATGGCTGCAATAAAATGAGTATTGCAGTAGAGTGAGTTGTAATCTTTTTGTTGCTGGAGGGGCTTGTCTTCAATTTGTAAAAAATGTAACATCTGTGAAGCACTGTAAAGTGAAGCTCAGTAAAATGAAGCATGCCTGTAAACCAATTTCTAAGTTTTGAATGATGTGCTAGTGGATTTTATATAGAGGGAAATTGCTGACAATAAAAGAAAAGGACAGTTCGTTACATGTTGAGTGGTTACTTTTTAAAAAAGTTTCTAGTAATAACTAAATAGAAAAATACCAGCAATCCACATTTTAAAAATATTAAAAATTCTACTCAGCCCTGGCTGATGTGATTCAGTGGGTTGAGCACTGGTCTGAGAACTGAAGGGTCACTGGTTTGATTCCCAGTCAGGCCAAGTCCCCAGTTGGGGGCGAATGAGAGAGGCAATCACACATTAATGTGTCTCTCCCTCTCTGTCTCCCTCCCTTCCCCTCTATCTAGAAATAAATAAGTAGAATCTTTTAGAAAATTCTACTCAGTTATTAACAATATAAACATGAATGTACAACATCAGTGTCTTGAAGATACATGTTGAATAAAGAAGTTAAAATCTCATACTTGATTAATTTCTGGTATTAAATTTTTTTTATTCTGCATCTATCTAAAATAAGTATTAGAATAGAATCATGATGGGTATAAATGATGGGGGAAAAATTCATACTTTTATGACATTAAGTAGACACAAGCTGATGACGGAGGGAAAATAAGCCTGAAGTATGTGTATTGTTTTACATTTACTGTCATCAGCGTTGTGGAAATTGTGTTGCATGGGAAGTTTACCTGATCTCTTAAATTCTTATAGATAATGTTGATAATTGTTTCAGTCAGTGATGGATATGTGAGGATTCATATGCTGTTCTACCTACATTTGCGTGTGTTTGAAATTTTCTGTTCTTTCAGGGTAGTTTTGTGATACTTGCTCAGTTAGATCACTAGAGAACCACCTGAGTTTGGCAAGACATACTCTTTTTATCTTAGGAACACTTTTTTGCTGCTTTGTATGCTTTTTTGTTATTTTTCCTTTTTTAGACTTTATA